ACATTCTCCTTGTATTACTCAGGAAAAAGGGAATACATATTCTTTTTCTTTTTAACCATTTCTCTGCTCTACTTTATAGGGATCTTTGCTGAGCACATACTTGTACCATCATAGCCCCTATCCTAACCTAGTCTCTGCTCAGTCTGGCTAACAGGCCTGTCATCCCCATTATTCCAGGGATGCGGACATCACACTACAAGCTATAAACATGTCGACTATTCTAAAGCAGCCCATTCTAAGGGGCTCTCAATATAATTGGGAAGCAGTTTGTCAGTTCTATAGCTGTGAAGAGATATTATAACCACAGCAACTCTTTTAAAGGAAACCATTTAACTGGGGCTGGCTTACAGTTCAGAGGTTTAGTCCATTGTCACCATGGCAGGAAGCATGCCAGCAAAGATGGTGCTGAAGTGTTCTACTTCTGGAGCCACTAGGCCTAGTTTGAGTTCTGAAACCTCAAAGCCTGCCCCCAGTGACAGACTTCCTCCGAGAAGGTCACACCTACTCCAACAGGGTCACATATCCAGTAAGACCACTCCCCGTGAAGCTATGGGGAGGAGCATTTTTATTCAAATAACCACATCATTTGTCCTTATGTTCTTAATACAATTGGCTGTGGCTCTGAGATAGTATGGAGTGTTTTCCCTTGTCAAATGCCAATCTTAACCAAGATCACTGAGGTATACATCTTGTGAATCAAAAAGTTTTTGATTTGTGTCTTACCCTTTCCACATCAGTTGTTAGTGGGTTCCCTTTGTGTTTTAGTCAACTGGTTTCTATCTGCGAGGAGTCTCCACAGCTAATAGTTGACTTTCTCATTCCTGCATGTGTTCCTTAGATAACGTGGTCAATACTTGACAGAAACATTGGATTTACATTGAATATATATTTTTTAAATTGTATAATTAAATCATTCCATATTTAGGATGAAGTTGCTAACAAATTCCCACACATTTTAATTGCATATATATGTATTTAATGTAGGCTATTTAGTCTACAAAATTCACATATTTTAATAAAAAACTAATTATATTTGAAATTTTATTGCCTTTTACCTGGACAGAAGGAAACAATAGTAAACTTTATAATGCTTAAAAACCTACATAATAGTCATGAGTTGAGCATAGGAAATTTTAAGTTATAAAAAAACTAACACTGTATAGCAGATTATTTTACACTCTGTCAAATTTCACAGAATGTACAAAGCTTCAGGTGACTCTTAACATAAGGTATGGAATTTGGATAATAAAGGGTCTGTGCAGTTTCATTGATTTTTCTTACAAAAGTGTATCTTATTGGTGCCACTTACAATAGTTGAGAAGGCTGCATGCATCTTATCAAGGGAAAGTATTTTTTAACTCTCAATCACTTCCGTTTTTAGTGTGATCATGAAATAGCCTTGAAATAAGGCACAATTAGCAAATCCATGTCAGAAATGCAAAACAGTCTATGAATGTACACAAATATGTACATTATCCATATATGTAAATATAATCAGAGGCAACCAACGTAGCATAAATTAATGCATCATTGAATAGAACAAGATACATCCATACCTAGAACAAATATCTGAACATATAAACAAGTTTATGTACAGAGACATAAAGAAATTGATACTGTGTATGTAGCTATGGCCCATCCTCATTGACTTATTGTGAGATTGCTAACTATTATCACTTTAAAGACTTATGACCATTGCTTAGGATCTTAAATCTTTTCCACAACTTATACAGATTTGAGGGTGGGGGGGGTCACTGGAAGGGACAAAGCTTGACTTCACTTATTACCATTTTATACTGATGTGTTCGTTTCTCCTGCTATAATTTTATCAAGGTAGTATGAAATTGCTTGCCATCTGGTCCGATGGAATGAAACCCACCACCTCCATCTATTCATCAAAAGTTGTCTATTCTACCCTGGCAAGCCATTTCTTTTCTTCTCCTATAGTGGTATATTATTTGTGTTTTAATAAATAAAGCTTTCCTGAAGGTCAGGGCAAAGCAGCCACACTAGTCAGCCATACAGGCCAGGCAGTGGTTGCACACACCGTTAGTCCCAACAGCCACGCTAGTTAACTACAGAGGCCAGGCAGTGGTGATGCACGTTTTTCATCCTAGCATTAGGGAGAGAAATATAAGGTAGGAGGAGACAAAAACTCTTTCTCTTTCAGTCTGGAGATTTCAAACAGATAAGAGATCTCTAGTGGCTTAGCTGCTTTTCTGATCTTCAGGTTGAACCGCAATATCTGGCCCTGGAATTTTATTATTCATGCTACTCTTCCTCTCACTTTCCCTCCATACTGCTGACAGATGTCTTATCTCCCAACTAGAAGGAAATCTCCAACATAAAGTGAGGACCCAAGTCCCATCTTTATTCAGATGCTTCTTAGGCATCCTTCCCCGAAGAATTTCCTCTGAACTGCTCTAAGGACTGGAGAGATGTTGCCATGGGTAACATTTACAGCACAAGTTTGAGGAGCCGAGTTCAATTCCTCAAGTTCTAAGTAAATCCAGGTACAACAGCTCATGTCTACAATCCCAATGCTCCTGAGATGAGAGGTGGAGTTGGGCGCATCGCTAGCTCAAAGGCCATCAGTGGCAAACAACACAGACACCCTGTCTCAGAAAAGGTAGAAGGTGAGGACCTACAGTGTCCTCTGACCACCAGGCATACTTGAGCACACATGAAGGAGCACACACAAAAGTGATGCACACACACACACACACACGCACACACACACGAGCGCACGCACACACAACCCCACCTATATACAGTACTGGTAAAATTCTCCTTTTACCCAATGTAAATCATTTTTAGTCCAATTGAACAAGAAGTGAAAATTGTACTGTTCTCCAAATTAAAAGGCTATCAGACTATTCCACGCTTAAAAAGGATTTTAAATTATTAATGTGATAATTGTAATCTTCTTGAATGGAGTCCAAAGATAGATGGCAGCGTCTGTGTAGGCTTCTCATACTAGTAAACAAACATGGGAAGACAATGAAGTGGTGTTTTCCAAGATTACTGTTCCCTTATTGAATTAAAATGGAATTATACTGACCACCATGGAAAGATGTCACCTAAAGCTTGTTTGTCCTTTACAACATAACGACACATCATCATCATTTGTTAAGGAAAATGCAACAAACTTTTAATTAAATGCTAACAGATCCTTATTTTAAATATGGCATGTGCTCGGAATCCATTCCAGGCCACCTATCTCTTAGACTGTTATTGAGTAACCAAGTTTGAGAAGCAGGAAGCTAATCCCTCTGAGCAGAACCTTTGGGTTCAATGACCAGACACATCTGGAGACTTCTGCAGCCTCTAAAGATAGATCTGAGCTTTTGCGTGGTTAACCAAGGCCAATGCTCTCCTTAATATCGCCTTGAATCACGACCTTCTGGAGAATATTTTTAAGAGACTTAACAATTCCTACCAAGCTAATTAAATCTGTAATGTTTTTTTAACATTTATTGGCAGACATTTATATTTCCTGACATTATTTCCTGAATTCACTAAGAGATATATCTAGAATCTCCCCAGGATTTCTCCAAACTTCTTTATTTCTTATGGACTCATAGTACACAAGAACGTAGTTTTCCTTTTCCAGCACCGACAAAGATGAAGTCAATCATCCCTTCCTTGAGCATCCTTTCAAATGGGTTGCTGTGCTCTGGGATTTTAGGTTTGCTCTTCCTTCTTGCCATGACAGCAAAGAAATCAAGCCAGTAATAGCTAGCTAGAGGTCACCATGTTGGAAATTAACTCGAAGGGTAAAGAGCTAAGAGAATCTCAAAAAAGTCTACCTAGATCCTTATCAAATTTGTTGCTAACATCAATTTAACTCTTGGCATTACCAGTCATATAAAACAAATGTTGTCCTTGGATTGTACAATGATTTCATTTAGACTTTCACTGACTGTTTGCAAACCAAGTGCCTAGGAGATACAAAATCAGTTATCATGACTTAAAATATACATAACAGTTTAGGCCCTGAGAGGTAAGGAATACGAGAGACGGTTCTGAGTCATATGGAAAGTTGAAATTTGGCTTTACAATTGCCCAGCAGTTGGTTAAATGTCAGTGACTTTAGAGCTCAGGCATGGATTACCAACACTACAAGTTAGGCAGATGAGAAGGAGGGAGTAAGGAAAAATCACCTTCATACCCAGAAAGAAAGAAATGGTTGCTACTTACCTTTGAAAGAAAGAGTAGAAAAGATTGTCTTTCTGCCTTCTCTCTCTGTGATCTGCTAGGTAAGGATAAAGTTTCAGGAAGCTCACCTTTTGGAAAAGCTGAATGATTAACGCACCTGCGCGGAGACAGTCACAAGGAGAGGTGAGAGAGAGACGTGAGAAGAAATTGCAGAAGTCAGGAATTGCAGGGAACACACAGCCCAGCCCAGCATGATACCATATCCTTGAAAAGACAAAACTACCAACACTAAGGAAATGAAATCAACACAGGGATTTAGGCCAGCCATAAATATTGACCTCCTCAGCCCACTGGGTTTTTGTAAAGATATAAACTATATATGTATATATACATACATAATCAACAAAGATTGCCCTATATAGGTGTTTCCAAACTAAAGACAGAAGCAAGTTACAATAACAGCACCGCTTTAAAATCTCTTCATAAATCTATTTGGCTACCTGATCTTCAAATGAAGTTTGATTTGGCAAATATTTCTCAGATATAACTACCTGCACATATAAACACATATACACACCTATATACATATATACTGTATGTGTATATATGAACATTTTTAAAATTGTTCACATATTTTTCTGATACACTGCTTTCACAATATTTATGAATCTACAAGTACCTCTTTAAATGAATATTAAAAGAATAAGTGTGACCTCTTTCAGTAATATTTAATTTTGCAAATTTTCATTTATAAGTGTTTAAAATAAACAGCAACAACTTTACCTCTTCAGTAATCCATATTTATTAGAGATATTTTGACTCAATAGATTTCAGTATCTCCACACATGTCATTTATTTATATTTTGATTCTTTAATGGGGGTGTAACACTAACAACCACTACTCATAAAATTAAACACATGATGATCTTGGCCGTTTAACAAATATCTTCTCTGTTGTAAATTCAAAACAATTAGAAATTCCAACAATTACATAATACTCGTTTGAGTTATACCTTTATCAGGTTTTCCACTTTATGCTGTAAGAAAACGACTTTGCTACCAGTCTTGTTAATGCCATAGAGAACATCTGAAGCAGGAAACTATTATTTATGCACACAATTTTGCAGTCATAACCACAAATCATTTGCAGAATCACTGAGGTAAGACTCTAAACTAAATATGGTGCTGATCTGTTAACTATTCTAACAGGATTTTGAGGATGAGTGGTTTCATCTTCATTTTTTCCCACTCATAAGGCTCCAAAACCCCTAAAAACACATTAGACAACACAATAGCAATATTCAAAGAGCACAACCCGTTCTGAAGAACAGAAAATCTATAGCACAGAGACACCACACATAAGGAGTGGATTCCCTTGGAGGTAAGAATCAATTAACTGGCACTCCTTAAGGAACTTTCTCTTTCTTCTTTGGTGGAGAATCTATTCTATTTGGATTCTCCACTCCATTTTCTGTGCATTTTCTCCACCTGGATCGTCTCTTCCTCCCCGAGGCGTGAATACTCATATCTTCTAGCCATCTCTGAAGCGACACAGTAGTCAAGGTCCATGTGATGTACACTTGGATACTGCAACTCGAAGACAGAACAGCGATTTTAGCTGCCAACACACTGACATTTCCAGAGAGGAGATGCGGATTCTGTGACCCTGCCAAGTGAAGCCCTACTGTGATCACCGAGACAATCAATGTCACCAGTCTCCCGGATATAAACACCAAAGGCCAAAGAGAGAGCCCTTTCTGGTACCGCTCATCACCGAAGTAGAACAGGCTGCACAGGTTGGAGAGCAGCTCGACGGAATAGTGCAGCAGCAGCAGCAGCAGGCCCAGGTGGTTCAAGTACAAGAGATAGGCCCCTCCGATGTGGAAGAGATGGAGACCGATGAAGATGAGCTGACCCGGGACATCTTGCTTCCTCACTTTTTGGAAGTAGAGCTCTGGAAAGCCATGACACCAGTAAGCCAGCTGCGAGATGTAGAAAAATTTCATCTGAAATGTCATCATGTTGTGGGGAGGAGCCTTCCACAGTCGCGTGGGGTCTGAAAAGCAGTTCTCGGAGGCCAGAATGCTCATGCCCCAGATACCAGACACTATATAGAACACACTTAGCTGCCCCGCCTCGTTCAATTTGCTTTGTTTGCCTTTGGTGAGCTGCAGTCTCTTGCTGAGCTTATCCAGAATATACTCCTGAATGGAGGCATGGGTGATGATGGCCACTAGCATGTAGAAGAACACTGTGGCCAGATCTTTGACCCCATAATAGTAAAGGGTCCTGGACCCTGAAGGCAGCTCTTCCGCGGGGACAACGACTCCGTGCTGCAGCGTGAGGAACACAATCGACATCTCGGCCGTGCTCTCGAACAAAAGCCCCATCACGAAGAACATGCCCACGCAGGAGACCATGTCCGCGTGGTTCTGCACCATGAATTCGTGGCTCAACACCGGGGGATTCCTGGCGCTCTTCTTGCGGACCCCCATGCCGCAGTACTCACCGGTACTCATCAGCCGCCGCCGCTGCTCACTGCGCTGCTCCAAGCGCCAGCCTCCCCATCCCAGACAGTCCGCAGCCCAGGGTCGCAGCCGCTCCCGACTGATCAATCAAAGGCTGGGGCCCCGCGTAGGCCGAGCATGCGCACAGGGCCTGAGGAGGCAGGGAAGGAAATCGAGCGCCGCGCCCCTGCCCCGCAGGCCCGGGTGCGAGCGCAGCGCGGATTTGCCGTGGCGATCGCAGCTGCCGCCCACCCGCCAGGACCGGAGGTGCTTCCCAGGAACTGGTCCGGACCAGATAGGGAAATTCGGTGTCACTGTCATCTCCATCACCAGCATCACTTCAGCATCACAGCAGCGAGCTCCCTAGTGCTCTCTACTGATCCCTTATGGATCTCACAATCACTTAGGAGCTGGATCCTGTGAGAATCCTCTCTCTCTCTCTCTCTCTCTCTCTCTCTCTCTCTCTCTCTCTCTCTCTCTCTCTCTCTCTCTCTCCCTCCCTCCCTCCCTCCCTCCCTCCCTCCCTCCCTCCCATCTCCCCTCCCCAGTCTCTCATTCCCTCCCTCCTCACCTCCCCCCCTTCCCCTCCCATTCTACAGTTCTTTGACACAAAAACTGACTCCAGAGCTCCTCACTATCTTGCGATCCTTATCATCACACATCTGGAAAATGCCAGTAGCCAAGATTTAAATCTGGGTGGCTCCAGAGCTTGTGCTGTCTCCTTGTTAAATCACTCTTACCTGGAAACACTAGATTCACAACAAAGCAGTTTCGAAAACAATTTCCCGATTGGAATGATTGCTAGTTAATTATTTTCAAAGTTTGCAGGCAGTGGGACGCAGAGAACTAGCAGGTCCTTTGGCCACTGAACAAGACTTTCCTCAAGCATGTGAATCTGCAGGTTTATTTCTCTGAGTATAGTGGTTTTAGTGTATATTAAATGCACATAAAAAAGCAAAGCTTGGAGCTTTCTCAACTGAAGTTTCGTGTCAATTTTCAAATATCTCTTCCGATGGGTAGTGAATTTCTTGTCCCTCAACTGCCGTGTGAGTACAAAATCTTTACTGATATGAATGACAGCTGGAATATGAAATAGGCATTTCAGAAGAAAAATGCGACGGGATATTTTTACAATAAAGCAATCATTATCGCTAGCACACTAAACTTTATCATTCTTCCTTTCTCTGTATGTCATAACTGAATGTAAATGGAAGATTTTGGACTAAACATTCAGATCAATGGACTGCATCTTGCATTTCAAAGGAGTCAAAGGATAAGGCACGCTGTTTATTATGGGAATTGTTTCTGCATTAAGGAAACTATGCATGTGTGTATGTGCTTCATAGCAAGAATTCTCCATTTTTCAAAAGATTCTTCGCTGAATAACTCGCACTTTACAAAGCATCATTTTGACTTTTGTTTGTTTATCGAAGCTCAATTATTGAGTATGACAATTCCACACTGAGAGCAAATTAAAGTTAAATCACCAAGAAAACAGAAATACACATATAAAAGCTAGGGTGCAAAGGAATGAGAAGAAGAAGAAGAAGAAGAAGAAGAAGAAGAAGAAGAAGAAGAAGAAGAAGAAGAAGAAGAAGAAGAAGAAGAAGAAGAAGAAGAAGAAGAAGAAGAAGAAGAAGAAGATCAAAATTGTTAAAAAACGGTCTGGCTGGAATGCTCCAAGATAAAAAGCAGTGCTTGCCTGGAATCAGGAAAGAAAGGATCCATGCACCTGTGTCAGATTCATGATAATTTTAAGTATAGAATCATTTGCTTATAATGACATAGGTAACAAAACTGAAAGCTGTAGCATGAATAATAAATGTAAAAACATTTGTGTAACTCTCAACTGTATTCTTTTAATATTTTTGACCCCTAAGTGTGTCAGCATGATCTATTTTGACCACAATAAAATAAACACAGTCCACATCAAAATGAATAGGACATTAAGATGACACAGGGGCTTAGATCTTCAAGCATAAACTGTCAAGTGAACAAGGCAGAAACCAGAAATGTCATGGTACTTTATAATCTAGCACTAAAAGTCACATCTACCATTTGAATTGTAAAATGAAACACACTGCTATTCACTGAAAGCAAGATTGGGCAGAGGAAAAGATAGGCATCCTTCACAGGCAGTACCGCTGAATGATGGATGCACTAGTTTAAAAATCACTGAAAACAAACTCCTTGCAAATTAATGTCATTCTCTCAGGAGGAAAGGAACAGTCCCATACAAATAAATATAGCAACAGACATAGGCATACTGCCCAAACACGTTAGTGTAAATCAGGTGCAGGTGCAAATGGGGATCCTCACATCCGTTTCTTTGTTACACTAACTTCAATTTTAGTTTTTAACCTTACAAATGAAAGAAATACAGCTTTTGGTTTTCAAACATCTCATTAAAAGGCACTAAACACCTCCATTTAAGGTAAGCAACTGGGGTACACACAGCAGCAAGTGGTCAGTGAAAATAATAAGGTCAGTCTACAGTACTATCTCTACGCCTTGGACTTAAGCCTCATATTCATCCCTGGAAAATGCCGTTTTATTACCCAAAAAGACATCAAACATTATAAATTGATTTATTTTTGTTTATTTGGTGTTTTGAAAATTAATAGCCACCAGAAATTAAAATATACTAATGTGTCAACTCAACATCACTGATGCCTGTATAACAGAGACAAAGCATTTACTAGTTATGATATATTCACCACACAGTGAGTAGTCTTTCAAGAAAATAATATTTAGAATCGACATCAGAGACACAGAGGAGACAGCTATTAACTATACTGTACAGACATTTGCCACAAATGCAGAAAGCTTCTTTTAAAACAGTGGTTGTCAATCTTTGGGTTGCTGATTCTTTGGGGGTCACAAATCAGATATCCTACATATCAGATGTTTATATTATGATTCCCAATAATAGCAAAATTACAGTTATGAAGTTGCAATGAAATAAGTTTATGGTTGGGGGATCACCGCAACATGAGAAACTGTATTTAAACATCACAACATTAGGAATGTTGAGTACCACCATTCGAATATATGTTGTTGATTTCATTATAAGGAGCATTAGATGTTCAGAAACTCCACTGAAAGTCTCTTTGTAGGTAGAGAACTGTATTTCATAGCACTTCTAATAGCTTATTCTTTCCATTAGCTATACTACTGGCTTGATTTGGGAAGTTTGTGCATAGCATACCAATATTATGTATTTAAGCAGCTTAATTACAGTATCATTTCAAAGGTTTTACATACTTCTTAAGTAATCTAAAATAGGCAAAATAATATTGCATCTCATAGTAGGTAAATGGCAAAAGCAATATGAACTTTTAATGTGCAAATCACTTCATCTTTGAATATTGTATATCTCAGAGTAAATGTAAATTTTACATCACTACGATATCAACTATTTAGGAATTTAAATTAACAAGAAGTGAATTCAACATAAATTCTTATATATTGTGTCATTTGAAGGAAGCAAGATATACTGTAAAAGAGGTAATAGGAAATAACTAACCCACAGCACATCAAATCAATGTTTATAATTAGAAATACGAGGCTACATTTAACAAAGGCAGCACAGTTTAGTTTGTGCAAGAAACAAAGTCTCTGGTGCTTTGCAGATTTTCAAGTGATTAAAAAACTAAATGGAAAAGATACTTATTACGGCCAAGGTACTTTTATAACTGACATGATAATATTACACATGAACATCTGAAAAATAAAATAGAATAAGAAAATGTAACAGTCACAGATTCTATTATGTCTGTTTGTGTATTTATTAGTAACTTAGATGATTAAAATTATGAAGCACTGTCTATAGATAAACTCATAGAAGAGCCTAATATAATCTCTTTATTGCTAAAATATGGGAACTAATAAAATCATATAGACATTTAGCAATTTATGCTTTCAAGTGTGTACTATTTAAAATAATGTGTTGCATAGCCTCAGTTTCAGTAGAGAATTAAAGGGTAGAAACAAAGTGCTTGGTAATGACTACTGAAATATGTGTTGTATAAGTCACTAAGGGTAAAACATGAATGAGGATGAATATTTCAGATGAGGTGAGCAGGGAAAACTCTCAAAGCAGATGCTGTTTAACAAAATTCTATGGGAAATTAGAGGCAAAGCTGGGGGAGAATCGGTTGGGGGTGACTGATTTCCTTGGTCTTCTGTCCTTAAATGTCAAGGAGAGAATGGTTGAAACTGTACACCAGAAAGAAACTACACACCTTGATTGCTAGAGCCACTATAGATTGTCTGAATTTACTCCATATTCAGTTAGTTTGCTGCTTTTCAGTGGTAAGCATGCTATATTTGCATACATTGTATAACTTCTAATACTTTCAAATTAATTAATGATATACATTAGTCTTGTCTTACGTAGGATCAAAACCATAGGTATTTTAGCAAATAAAATGCTTAAATTTTGCTTTCCAAACATAGAGAAGTTGTGGAATAATATAAAATGCAGATGATACCCGAGATCCTAATGCAACTCAGTAATTCAAAGGGGCCATATCTTCATGACTTAATCACTTGCTAAAAAGGCTCCACCAGATGAAGGTTCTATGGTGATATGAAAGATATTCGTCAGTATTGCTATAGGATAGGGTCATTTCAGGTTCCCTATCCTCAGCTTCCCAAGGGATTAACTGGGGACATCGCCTTGGGCTCCTGGGAGCCACTCTAGGTTCAAGTCTCTTGCCAACACTAAGGTGGCTCCCTTAACTAAGATTTGTGCTTCCCTGCTCCCCTATCCAACCTTCCTTTATCCCAATCTTCCTGTTTCCCCAAGTTCCCCCAATCCTCCCCTTCTCACTTTTCTCTCCCCGTCCCCCCTTATCCCCAACCCACCCCACCCCCAAGGTCTCAATTTTCTCCCCGGCAATTTTATCTACTTCCCTTAGTCAAGAGGATAATTATATGTTTTTTCTTGGGTTCACCTTCTTATTTAGCTTCTTTAGGTTCACCAGGTATACACTCCGTGACCTTTATTTATGGCTAGAAACCAATTATGAGTGAGTACATCCCATGTTCATCTGGTGATGGATGGAGATAGAGACAGAGACCCACACTGGAGCACTGGACTGAGCTCCCAAGGGCCCAATGAGGAGCAGATGGAGGGAGAACACGAGCAAGGATGTCAGGACCACGGGGGGTGCACCCACCCACTGAGACAGTGGGGCTGATCTATTGGGAGCTCACCAAGGCCAGCTGGACTGTGACTGAAAAAGCATGGGATAAAACCGGACTCTCTGATCATGGCGAACAATGAGGACTGATGAGAAGCCAAGGTCAATGGCAAGGGGTTTTGATCCTACTTCATGTTCCGGCTTGGTAGGAGCCTAGCCAGTTTGGATGTTCACCTTCCTAGACATGGACGGAGGGGGGA